CAAAGTCCCCTGGTCGAGTATAACAAAGCCCCCTCATCGATTATAACAAAGTCCCCTGCTCGAGTATAAAAAAGTCCCCTGCTCGAGTATAACAAAGTCCCCTGTTTGAGTATAACAAAGTCCCCTGATCGAGTATAGCAAAGTCCCCTGGTCGAGTATAACAAAGCCCCCTCATCGAGGATAACAAAGTCCCCTGCTCGAGTATAACAAAGTCCCCTGTTTGAGTATAACAAATTCCCCCTATCGAGTATAACATATCCCCTGATCGAGTATAACAAAGTCCTCTGGTCGAGTATAAAAAAAGTCCCCTGATTGCGTATAACAAAGTCCCCTAGTCGAGTATAACAAAGTCCCCTGATCGAATATAACAAAGGCCCCTCATTGAGTATAACAAAGTCCATTGGTCAAGTATAAAAAAGTCCCCTGGTCGAGTATAACAAAGTCCCCTCGTCCAGTATAACAAAGTCCTCTGGTCGAGTATAGAAAAGTCCCCTGATCGAGTATAACAAAGTCCCCTGGTCGAGTATAACAAAGTCCTCTGATCGAGTATAACAAAGTCCCCTGATCGAGTATCACAAAGTCCCCTAATCAAGTATAACATATCCCCTGATCGAGTGTAACAAAGTCCCCTGATCGAGTATAACATATCCCCTAATCGAGTATAACAAAGTCCCCGGTGGAGTATAACAAAGTCCCCTAACCGAGTATAACAAAGTCCTCAGATCGAGTACAACAAAGGCCCCTCATCTAGTATAGCAAAGTCCATTGGTCAAATATAGGAAAGTCCACTGATCGAGTATAACAAAGGTCCCCGATCGAAGTATAACAAAGTCCTCTGGTCGAGTATGACAAAGACCCTACAGATAACAAAGTCCCCGATCCAGTATATAACATATTCCCTGATCAAGTATAACAAAGTCCTGGTCGAGTATAAAAAAAGTCCCTAATCGCGTATAACAAAGTCCCTGGTCGATATAACAAAGTCCCTGATCGAGTATATAACAAAGGCCCTCATTGAGTATATAATAAAAGTCCATTGGTCGAGTATAAAAACTCCCATGGTTGAGTATACCAAAAGTCCCCTGATCGAAAGTAAAACAAAAGTCCTCTGGTCGAGTATAAAAAGTCTCCTGATCGAGTATAACAGCTCCTAATCGAGTATAACAAAGTCCCTGATCGAATATAACAAAGCCCCCTACTGAGTATAACAGTCCCCCTTTATCGAGTATAACAAATTTTATCGAGTATAATGCCTGGATCGAGTATAACAAAGGCCCTTGGCGAGTTTAATAAAGTCCCTGATCGAGTATAACAAAAGTCCCCTGATCGAATATAACAAAGTCCTCTGGACGAGTATAAAAGTCCCCTAATCAAGAATAACATATCCCCTGATCGAGAATAACAAAGTCCCCTGATCGAGTATAACATATCCCTTGATCGAGTAAAACAAAGTCCCCTCATCGAGTAAATCAAAGTCCATTGGTCAAATATAGGAAAGTCCACTGATCGAGTAAAACAAAGGCCCCCGATCGAGTATAACAAAGGCCTCTGGTCTAGTATGACAAAGTCTCTAATCAAGTATAAAAAAGTCCGCTCGTCAAGTATAAAAAAGTCCCCTGATCGAGTATTACAAAGTCCCCTGATCGAGTATAACCTATCCCCTGATTGAGTATAACAAAGTCCTCTGGTCGAGTATAAAAAAGTCCCCTAATCGCGTATAACAAAGTCCCTTGGTCGAGTATAACAAAGTCCCCTGATCGAGTATATCAAAGTCCCCTGATCGAGTTTAACAAAGGTCCCTCATTGAGTATAACAAAGTCCATTGGTCAAGTATAACAAAGTCCCATGGTTGAGTATAACAAAGTCCCCTGATCGAGTAAAAGAAAGTCCTCTGGTCGAGTATAAAAAAGTCCCCTGATCGAATATAACAAAGCCCCCTGCTCGAGTATAACAAAGTCCCCTTATCGAGTATAACAAATTCCCCTTATCGAGTATAACAAAGTCCCCTCATCGAGTATAACAAAAGTCCCCTGATCGAGTATAACAAAGTCCCCTGGTCGAGTATAACAAAGCCCCTGATTGAGAAAGAAGTCCTCTGGTCGAGTATAAAAAAGTCTCCTGATCGAGTATAACAAAGTCCTCTGGTCGAGTATAACAAAGTCCTCTGATCGTGTATAACAAAATCTCATGATCGAGTATCACAAAGTCCCCTAATCATATAACATATCCCTGATCGAGAATAACAAAGTCCTCTGATCGAGTACAAATATATCCCCTGATCGAGTATAACAAAGTCCCTGGTGGAGTATAGCAAAGTCCCCTAATCGAGTATAACAATGTCCCTGGTCGAGTATAACAAAGTCCCCTGATCGAGCAGCAACAAAGGCCCCTCATCGAGTATAGCAAAGTCCATTGGTCAAATATGGAAGTCCATCAATTGATTATAACAAAGTACCCCGACGAGTATAAAAAGGCTTCTTTGTCGAGTATAAGAAAGTCCCCCTATCAAGAATAACATATCCCCTGATCGAGTATAACAAAGTTCTCTGGTCGAGTATAAAAACAGCCCCCTCATCGCGTATAACAAAGTCCCCTGGTCGAGTATAACAAAGTTCCCTGATCGAGTATAACAAAGGCCCCTCATTGAGTATAACAAAGTCCATTGATCAAGTATAAAAAAGTCCCCTGGTCGAGTATAACAAAGCCCCCTGATCGAGTATAACAAAGCCCTCTGGTCGAGTATAAAAAAGTCCCCTGATCGAGTATAACAAAGTCCCCTGGTCGAGTATAACGAAGTCCCCTGATCGAGTATAACAAAGGCCCCTCATCGAGTATAACAAAGTCCATTGGTCAAGTATAAAAAAGCCCGCTGGTCGAGTATAACAAAGTCCCCTTATCGAGTATAACATATCCCCTGATCGAGTATAACAAAGTCCCCGGTGGAGTATAAGAAAGTCCCCTAATCGAGTATAAGAAAGTCCCCTGTTCGAGCATAACAAAGTCCCCTCATCGAATAAAACATAGGCCCCTCATCGAGTATAACAAAGTCCCCTGATCGAGCATAACAAAGCCCCCTGGACGAGTATAACAATGTCCCCTGATCGAGTATAACAAAGTCCCCGGTGGAGTATAAGAAAGTCCCCTAAACGAGTATAAGAAAGTCCCTGGTCGAATATAACAAAGTCCCCTGATCGAGTATAACAAAGGCCCCTCATCGAGTATAACATAGTCCCCTGATCGAGCATAACAAAACTCCCTGGACGAGAATAACAATGTCCCGTGATCGAGTATAACAAAAGCCCCTCATTGAGTATAACAAAGTCCGTTGGTCAAGTTTAAAAAAGTCCCCAGGTCGAGCATAGAAAAGTCCCCTGATCGAGTATAACAAACTCCACTGTTCGAGTATAACAAAGTTCTCTGATCGAGTATAACAAAGTCCACTGATCGAGTATCACAAAGTCCCCAAATCAAGTATAACATATCCCCTGATCGAGTATAACAAAGTCCCCGGTGGAGTATAACAAAGTCCCCTAACCGAGTATAACAAAGTCCCCTGGTCGAGTATAACAAAGTCCCCAGATCGAGTACAACAAAGGCCCCTCATCTAGTATAGCAAAGTCCATTGGTCAAATATAAAAAAGTCCACTGATCGAGTATAACAAAGGCCCCCGATCGAGTATAACAAAGGCCTCTGCTCGAGTATGACAAAGTCTCTGATCAAGTATAAAAAAATCCGCTGGTCGAGTATAAAAGAGTCCCCTGATCGAGTATTACAAAGTCCCCTGATCGAGTATAACATATCCCCTGATCGAGTATAACAAAGTCCCCTGGTCGAGTATAACAAAGTCCCCTGTTCGAGTATGACAAAGGACCCTCATTGAGTATAACAAAGTCAATTGGTCATGTATAAAAAAGTCCCATGGTTGAGTATAACAAAGTCCCCTAATCGAGTAAAACAAAGTCCTCTGGTCGAGTATAAAAAAGTCCCCGGATCGAGTATAACAAAGTCCCCAGGTCGAGTATAGCAAAGTCCCCTGATCGAGTATAACAAAGGCCCCTCATCGAGTATAACAAAGTCCATTGGTCAAGTATAAAAAAGTCCCCTGTTCGAGTATAAGAATGTCCCCTAATCGAGCATAACAAAGTCCCCTGGTCGAGTATAGCAAAGTCCCCTGATCGCGTATAACAAAGCCTCCTGATCGAGTATAACAAAGTCCCCTGATCGAATATAACAAAGCCCCCTGCTCGAGTATAACAAAGTCCCCTTATCGAGTATAACAAATTCCCCTTATCGAGTGTAACAAAGTCCCGTGATCGAGTATACAAAAGTCCCCTGATCGAGTATAACAAAGTCCTCTGGTCGAGTATAAAAAAGTCCCCTGATCGCGTATAACAATGTCCCCTGGTCGAGTATAAGAAAGTCCCCTGATCGAGTATAA